CGTTTGATCAGGAGTCATTTCCTCTTGGTCTTTTTGTATGATGGTGTTCCTTGTCTGTTGTTGGTATGTTGACGTCACCTTCAGAGGGGCGCCATACTCGGGTCCATATTATATGCTTTAATTAAGGCTTTTTGGTCTACTCTGGTTACAGTCTCCTTGCCGTTTGTGTGTGATCGTCAGGTCTATCACATCGAGAACATCCAATGGAGAGGCTGGGTACCACATGTTGAACAGGATGAATCTGCGAGGGGTAGACAAGTCTTCTGTGTTCACTTCTCTGAACGAGTCTTGGTGTAGCTGTATCGGTAAAGCCATCTGAGCTTTCTATGATTTAGTCACGAACTGGTACTTGGAATTCCGCCAGTCTGGGATCTTGATTTCACGTAGCCATCTTGAGGGACACATAGGGGTTGAATAATTTCCCTTTGGTCACGTAGGGGTTGAGAAATTTCGGGGTTGCTGGTCTATCAATTTCTTCAGGTTCCTTTGCTGTCGTCAGGACTGGGTCAGTCATTTGTGTGACTGGTGGTGGTGGTTGACTTGCAGGTTCGGTGACAGGTGTTATGATCGGTGGGGAAGCTGCCGAAGTGCTGGTGCTTGCCGGGTCCGGGTTGACAGGTGCTGCAGGTGTAGGGTCGGCCTCTGGTTGAGTAGAGCGGTCGGTAAACATTGCCTCTGGTATCACAAAGGTCGGAAGTTTGTTCACCTTGTACAGGTCATTCAGTATTCTGTACCGTCGTTTGAGGTCTGTCCCTGAGAGTTCCGTGGCGAAGTGTATCAGAGCTACAACAGTGCTGTCAGGGGTGGCTGGTGGCGGCGTGAGTGGCGACGGCTGGCTGGTGGCGGCGTGAGTGACGACGGCTGGCTGGTGGCGGCGTGAGTGACGATGGCTGGCTGGTGGCGGCATGAGTGGCGACGGCTGGCTGGTGGCGGCGTGAGTGGCGACGGCTGGCTGGTGGCGGCGTGAGTGACGACGGCTGGCTGGTGGCAGCGTGAGTGACGACGGCTGGCTGGTGGCGTCGTGAGTGACGACGGCTGGCTGGTGGCGGCGTGAGTGGCGACGGCTGGCTGGTGGTGGCGTGAGTGACGACGGCTGCTGGTGGCGGCGTGAGTGACGACGGCTGGCTGGTGGCGGCGTGAGTGACGACGGCTGGCTGGTGGCGGCGTGAGTGACGACGGCTGGCTGGTGGCGGCGTGAGTGACGACGGCTGGCTGGTGGCGGCGTGAGTGACGACGGCTGGCTGGTGGCGGCGTGAGTGACGACGGCTGGCTGGTGGCGGCGTGAGTGACGACGGCTGGCTGGTGGCGGCGTGAGTGACGACAGCTGGCTGGTGGCGGCGTGAGTGACGACGGCTGGCTGGTGGCGGCGTGAGTGGCGACGGCTGGCTGGTGGCGGCGTGAGTGACGACGGCTGGCTGGTGGCGGCGTGAGTGACGACGGCTGGCTGGTGGCGGCGTGAGTGACGACGGCTCGCTGGTGGCGGCGTGAGTGACGACGGCTGGCTGGTGGCGGCGTGAGTGACGACGGCTGGCTGGTGGCGGCGTGAGTGACGACGGCTGCTGGTGGCGGCGTGAGTGACGACGGCTGGCTGGTGGCGGCGTGAGTGACGACGGCTGGCTGGTGGCGGCGTGAGTGACGACGGCTGGCTGGTGGCGGCGTGAGTGACGACGGCTGACTGGTGGCGGCGTGAGTGACGACGGCTGGCTGGTGGCGGCGTGAGTGACGACGGCTGGCTGGTGGCGGCGTGAGTGGCGACGGCTGGCTGGTGGCGGCGTGAGTGGCGACGGCTGGCTGGTGGCGGCGTGAGTGACGACGGCTGGCTGGTGGCGGCGTGAGTGGCGACGGCTGGCTGGTGGCGGCGTGAGTGGCGACGGCTGGCTGGTGGCGGCGTGAGTGACGACGGCTGGCTGGCTTGGTTGAGTGGTGTCGTCTGGCAACCCGCTCTCGCACAAGACAGCACATATATGACTTAACGCTTATATGACTTAACGCTTATATTCATTATTTTGCTTATGAATTAGTACATATGTGGTATATTCCCAGTTATATTTTTCTCAAGAGCCAAACTCTTCCTCACGTACCAATTACGTCTCACAGTTCCCGTCCATTGCTGTAGACAGCAGAATAGTCGTGATTGGTTCAATTATAATGAAAATTGTAGTTTTCAGGTCCCCCATGGGTTGAGAAATTTACCTACTATTGTCCATACTCTTAGAATATTACAGATCAGCTATATCCTATTGAAGGTTCGTAGTTTTGTTTTGAGAAATAGTAGTTGTTCTTAATAAATTATAATAAGCACTATAAATTATTACATAGAATAATATTTTGTAGGAACGTCTACAGAAAACGATGTTACGTTGGAATGTCTATGGGGGTAAACTACTGCAAATAGGATAGTATGTTTTTTTTTTTTTTTTTTTTTTTTTACCTACTGTAGGATGGTATAGGGTCCACTCAACCTGCTCTCGCACAAGACAGCACATATATGACTTAATGCTGGAGCGGGTTACAAGTTAGGTGGGATTCGTCACGGTAGGTGGGGGTCGTCACGGTATTTGGGGGTCGTCACGGTATTTGGGGTCGTCACGGTAGGTGGGGGTCGTCACGGTATTTGGGGTCGTCACGGTATTTGGGGGTCGTCATGGTAGGTGGGGGTCGTCACGGTAGGTGGGAGTCGTCATGGTAGGTGGGGTCGTCACGGTATTTGGGGGTCGTCATGGCAGGTGGGGGTCGTCACGGTAGGTGGGGGGTCGTCACGGTAGGTGGGGGTCGTCACGGTATTTGGGGGTCGTCACGGTAGGTGGGGGTCGTCACGGTATTTGGAGGTCGTCACGGTAGATGGGGGTCGTCATGGTAGGTGGGGGTCGTCACGGTAGGTGGGGTCGTCATGGTAGGTGGGGGTCGTCATGGTAGGTGAGGGTAGTGACGATAGGTGGGGGTCGTCACGGTATTTGAGGGTCGTCACGGTAGGTGGGGGTCGTCACGGTATTTGGGGTCGTCATGGTAGGTGGGGTCGTCACGGTAGGTGGGGTCGTCACGGTATTTGGGGGTCGTCACGGTAGGTGGGGGTCGTCACGGTATTTGGGGTCGTCACGGTATTGGGGGTCGTCATGGTAGGTGGGGGTCGTCACGGTAGGTGGGGTCGTCACGGTATTTGGGGGTCGTCATGGTAGGTGGGGTCGTCACGGTAGGTGGGGGTCGTCACGGTAGGTGGGGGTCGTCACGGTATTTGGGGGTCGTCATGGTAGGTGGGGGTCGTCACGGTATTTGGGGGTCGTCACGGTAGGTGGGGGTCGTCACGGTAGGTGGGGGTCGTCACGGTATTTGGGGGTAGTCACGGTAGGTGGGGGTCGTCATGGTAGGTGGGGGTCGTCACGGTAGGTGGGGGTCGTCATGGTAGGTGAGGGTCGTCACAGAAGGTGGGGGTCGTCATGGTAGGTGGGGGTCGTCATGGTAGGTGGGGGTCGTCACGGTATTTGGGGGTCGTCACGGTAGGTGGGGGTCGTCACGGTAGGTGGGGGTCGTCACGGTATTTGGGGGTCGTCATGGTAGGTGGGGTCGTCACGGTATTTGGGGGTCGTCACGGTAGGTGGGGGGTCGTCACGGTAGGTGGGGGTCGTCATGGTAGGTGGGGGTCGTCATGGTAGGTGGGGGTCGTCATGGTAGGGTGGGGGTCGTCATGGTAGGTGGGGGTCGTCATGGTAGGTGGGGGTCGTCACGGTATTTGGGGGTCGTCAAGGTAGGTTGGGGGTCGTCATGGTAGGTGGGGGTCGTCACGGTACTTGGGGGTCGTCATGGTAGGTGGGGTCGTCACGGTATTTGGGGTCGTCATGGTAGGTGGGGGTCGTCACGGTAGGTGAGGGTCGTCACGGTATTTGGGGGTCGTCACGGTAGGTGGGGGTCCTCACGGTAGGTGGGGGTCGTCACGGTATTTGGGGGTCGTCATGGTAGGTGGGGGGGTCGTCACGGTATTTGGGGGTCGTCATGGTAGGTGGGGGTCGTCACGGTAGGTGGGGGTCGTCACGGTAGGTGGGGGTCGTCACGATAGGTGGGAGTCGTCATGGTATGTGGGGGTCGTCATGGTAGGTGGGGGTCGTCATGGTAGGTGGGGGTCGTCATGTTAGGTAGGGGTCGTCACGATAGGTGGGGGTCGACACAGTAGGTGGGGGTCGACACAGTAGGTGGGGGTCGTCATGGTAGGTGGGGGGGGGTCGTCATGGTAGGTGGGGGTCGTCATGGTAGGTGGGGGTCGACACAGTAGGGTGGGGTCGACACAGTAGGTGGGGTCGACACAGTAGGTGGGGGTCGTCATGGTATGTGGGGGTCGTCATGGTAGTGGGGGTCGACACAGTAGGTGGGGGTCGACATGGTAGGTGGGGGTCGACACAGTAGGTGGGGGTCGACACAGTAGGTGGGGGTCGTCATGGTAGGTGGGGTTCGACACAGTAGGTGGGGGTCGACACAGTAGGTGGGGGTCGTCATGGTAGGTGGTTGTCGTCATGGTAGGTGGGGGTCGACACAGTAGGTGGGGGTCGACACAGTAGGTGGGGGTCGTCACGATAGGTGGGGGTCGACACAGTAGGTGGGGGTCGACACAGTAGGTGGGGGTCGTCATGGTAGGTGGGGGTCGTCATGGTAGGTGGGGGTCGACACAGTAGGTGGGGGTCGTCATGGTAGGTGGGGGTCGTCATGGTAGGTGGGGGTCGACACAGTAGGTGGGGGTCGTCATGGTAGGTGGGGGTCGTCATGGTAGGTGGGGTCGTCATGGTAGGTTGGGGTCGACACATTAGGTGGGGGTCGTCACGGTAGGTGGGGGTCGTCACGGTATTTGGGGGTCGTCTTGGTAGGTGGGGTCGTCATGGTTTTTGGGGGGCGTCATGGTAGGTGGGGGTCGTCACAATAGGTGGGGGTCGTCACGGTATTTGGGGGTCGTCACGGTAGGTGGGGGTCGTCACGGTAGGTGGGGGTCGTCACGGTATTTGGGGGTCGTCATGGTAGATGGGGGGGGCGTCACGGTAGGTGGGGGGTCGTCACGGTATTTGGGGTTGTCACGGTAGGTGGGGTCGTCACGGTATTTGGGGGTCGTCATGGTAGGTGGGGGTCACTCCCGGTGGGGGAGTCACACACTGCAGGATTGAGTTTAGTAGTGTGGGCTGGGTCTTCTCCTCTCCCCCTTGGGTCCAAGGTCAAGTGGTGACCGGTCTTGAGGCATGACTGGGAGAGCTCCCTGGGGTGATGTGTGATACCCTAGTGGAGGGAGTGAAGTCCCACGGCGTGAGGTTATAGGATCAGTGACACGATCCCTCGCTGTTTAACTGTAACCTCATGTAACACTAGGCCAAGGTGAGCGGCGCGTGACACTATATATATCCCAATGCTACACCATCATCACCCTACAAAAGAAGTAGAGACTT